CTCATGCAGGACTTCAAGACCGGCTACCTCGTCGGTGCGTCGGCCAAGTCGATGATTGTCGCGCAGATCTTTGGTGCTTGCATGTCGTGCCTCATCGTGCCGACGGTGTGGGTGGTCATGAACCAGGCGTTCACGATCCCGGGCGACGTCATCACGGCGCCGTACGGTGAGATCTACCGCACGCTCGCGATTACGGCGTCGGTCGGCCTCTCGGGTCTACCCAAGTACTGCGGCTACTTCATGCTCATTGGTGCCATCTACACGGTGCTCTTCAACCTTCTCATTGACACGTGCTCCGAGTCCAAGAACAAGGTCGTCCGCGTCATCGCCAACTACTGCCCCGTGCCGATGGCCGTCGCCATTGGTATGATCGTGCCCGCGTACTTTGGCCTCGAGGGTATGATCATGGCTGCGATCATTGGCTACTGGCGCACGGTCGACTGCCCGGGTTTCGAGAAAGCGCAGTACGTCCTCGCTGCCGGTATGCTCACGGGCGAAGGTTTCTCGGTGCTGACGCAGATCGTCGTCTCGATCGCTGGCGCCGAAGCCCCGATGAAGATCACGTACGCCAACGCCCACTAGGATGCTTCTGTATACATTGCTTAAATCGTAATAGCTCGTGTTGTGTGAACTTTTGGAGTGGACAAAGTGGGTGTTCGATCCATGGGCAAGCTCATTTTATATCCCTAAGTTCAAAGATACTCTGTGGAATTGTCGCGGTCGCCTGTCGTGAGCACGGACATGTCGACGTCGGATCAGCTTTGGCAAAAGGGTGCGAGAGCTCACTCCCGACGGCGCCAATTCGAGGCGTGAGCCCATGGAAGAATACCAGCTTGTTCCTTTGGTCGATCGATCCCTGCATAAACCGAGAGGGTTACGTGATCGAGCCACGAAAATTGCCTCTTTCTCATGGCACCTTGAGGATCAGAAGAAATAGGGTAGTATTGAATACCTCAACGCACCGTCCACGGTTGAGGATACGGATGCTGTGGACACGTCGGTCAAAAGGCGCGAGGAGCACTGGGCTCTGGGTGTTGAGGTTCATCCTTGGTTTCTCGCCCATGAACCCTTGTTTCAAAAATTGAGCCATCGATTACGACGGCATTTGGTTGGCAACGTGTGTGCACAGAGTAGGACGGAGAGGGGGAAGCGGCCCTTCTTTTGGGTTCAATTTTCGTCGGACGTGGGCAAAGGCAGTCAACGTCGCGGGTTTTCTGCGCCTTGGATGGCGCGGGCGCAAGCAAACTGCTGCAAAGAAGCTGGGCACCTACACTTTTCATCCCGCAACTCAGATCCACGGAATGCTGTGGTTTTCATATGCCGATCAGATGGGTATTTTAATGGGGCCCCCTACCTTCTTCTGACGGGTTTCGACCCAAATGCGCCCTTTCTGCTCGACCACCCCCATCTCAGATGCCACCACGTGGCACGTGTCTTTTTGAAGTTGATGCGAGACCGCACACACTCTTGGCTCGTGCATTTGGGTTCATTTTGTTGAACCACTGGTACGTTGCCAAGCTCAATCTCAATCACAAGTCTCACTTTGCATTTTTCGACGACGTGCACACATGGACTCGCCGAAGGACCCGCACGCCAAGTACGAGCCGGCGACGACGCCAGCGTACGACGAACCCGCGACCAAGAGCGCGCCTCTCGGTGAAGACGACGAGGCCAAGCACGTGCTCGAGTTTGCGGCCATCACCAACGGCCTCGAGTACCCGCAGATCACGCTCAAGGCGCTCATCGTCGGCACGATCGTTGGCATCTTTGTCAGCGTCCTCGCCATGTACTACAGCCTCAAGATCGGTGTCACGCCGTCGCTCAACGTGCT